ACTCAATCGGGCCGGTACAGTATTAAAGTCGCCAGAGATTGTGTGGTCAAAACGTACTCCTTTTGATCTGACGCTACGTTTAAGTTGTACCTCAGTTTGGTGAGTGACTCGGTTGCAGGCTCTATTTCGGTTCACCTCCCCTAGTGATACCTACAGTAATTTTGTGTGTCGACTATTCTATTTTGTTTGTTTGTTCGTTGTGCGTCAGTAACACGATCTTTATCGGTCTTATCTCTAAGGGAGAATGACAGAGTGCTTGACCTTATATATGCCATTATGTTGTCGTTCTCATTTCACGTCTAATTCATTCTTCTTCTTCACTTCCACTTATTTGTTAACGACTGTTAGTTAGAGAAACTATGAATGTAGACAATTTCTCTTCGGAGGCCAGTGTTGATGCGTAAAAATTTTGTGGGGAATATAAGACTATTATAACCCAAGGCAAGTAGACTGTTTCAACTCTTATACAACAGTGTGTCTAATCATACAACAGACGCAAAATGTGGTACAGGGAGGGTCGTACAGGTTATACTATTCCACCACGTACTACCGTCCAGACTTTTTGGTGTCACACATCACAATGTCTCCTTCACTGCGGACCGTCCCATCGCTTGTAAGTCTCCTTAAGTTTCCCGTAAATCCGATAAACTGGCGACTACACTTAAATTTCCGCCGTAGACAATGTTGTGGACTGAACTTTGTAGAGAACTGTTGACTGGGAAGTCTCTGGTAGACAGTCAGGAAAAGCGGTTGATGAAGGACTGGTCCCTTGTTTTGTGATGATGGTCTTGAACAACATACTAAAAGGATAATACAGGACACGGTTAAAACCATACAGCCCAGCACGTGCACTCCGCTCTGCATCAGCCAAACAGCTCGCTGCACCCGCACTGCGAGGGGGACCCAAGTTCCCATCAGCAAAAACAAGTGGGTTTGCTATCCTGGCTCCAAAATGGTGGAATGAGCTCCCCATTGAAATCAGGACAGCAGAAAGCTTACACGTCTTCCGGCGCAGACTAAAAACTCATCTCTTTCGACTCCACTTCGAGCAATAGAATGACTAACAAAGCACTTATATACTAACAAAGGACTGCCGTATCTAAAACCAGTTGAGTAGCACTTGAAATGTTTTGGCTCTATGAAACCTGATGTACTTATATGATTCTGTTTTCTTCAAGTTTGTATCTTCTTGGTCAAATGCACTTATTGTAAGTCGCTTTGAATAAAAGCGTCAGCTAAATGCAACGTAATGTAATTTAAGAGGTGTTGTACTTATCCATAGTCCGTGTAGTATGGCTGTCAGCATGACCCCAGTTTAGAGACGGTATCAGCACAGAAGCAAGGCAATAAACTGCTGCAGATAGTGGCTGCCGCAAATGTATTTTAGCCACCTGGAAAAATCCATATCAGTTTAAATGTACACTATCTTTAGAATATTGTCACTGCTTTACCTTGCTGTCAGACAGCCCGCTCCAATGGGAACCTTAAAGAGGACCTATTATGTTTTTGGGGGTTTTCCCTTTCCTGTAGTGTGTAATACAAGTTTTTGTGCATTTTGAAATGGTCTGCAGAGGCTAAAATCCCAAAGTTCCCTTCAGAGGGAGTTTCTCTATGCTCTCTATAAAACTACCAGACTCCGTTGACAAAAACATGAATTCTACCTTGCAGAACCATGGTCTACTGTTGCGCCGAGCACTTTATTTGTCTGTGTTGTGACTTAGTTGACAGTTTTTAAGCCACCTCTCTTTTAGGAAAGCTGAAGTCCAGCCAGCCTGTAGAGGAGTGTGGAGGTCGTATTTGAGTCTACTGGTCTACGATGTGCTGATGTGTGTCACTGCATTCAGTCAACCTGACTCAACTTGAATGAATAACTCTTTTTTTTGTGTTGGTAGTAACAAGCGTCTTGGGAACAAAACGTGTGAAACATGACTGCTGTGTTTTAGCACAACAACGCAGTGTACTTTTTGTACAAGTAAACCCTCTCAGTTGTTTTTGTTGACACTTTGCCTGCTCTAAAGTCTGTGTTTATACTGAAGTGAGAGACTTGGCAAACTGAGAATAAAATCTGAATATAAAAGCTCGCTCACTTTTGACCATTTTTGAAGTTATCTTTGGCATTTTTTACTACAATTTATTTTAGCTATACTTGAAATACACTGATACCGAATTATCTACGAGAAAAGCTCATATCTTACCATAACTTATCACCATCTCCATATCTTTCTTATCTTGTGATTGCTCGTAAATCTGTGTTCTATTAGTTGTGCCTGTTGATAACGAGTTGACATAACAAAGATTCTCCGAAGCCTCACAGCTTCTTGTTCCAGCAGTCCTGTCGAGCAGGAGACGTGTAAAAATAAACCTTTTTCTGGCACTCCCCCATATGTTATGGTGCGTGTGTGTTTATGGTTGTTGGGCTGCTGGAGCAGTTGATCTTTTTTTTTAAATAAGCTTTGCCAGCAGGGTTGCTCGGTGTTTCTTACAGTCGAGACCTCTGGGTTCCTATAAGTTACAGTTGGGGTTACAAGAAAGGAAAGAGCGGGTTAAACTTAGGGGGTGTGCTACCAGAAAAACAAATCCCCGGAGACGCACGGCAGGAATATTGAATATACATATCCTGCTTCAACAAGTACATGGTGCTAAATCTTGCTAATTAGCCTCCAAGCTCCAACATACTCAAGTCAAATGTGGCTAAAATGGTCTGACAATCCCAAACATTAATGCAAGCTGTGGCTTCATTCACAGCTAATCATTTGAAATAAAACATTCAAAACAGAAAATTAGAAAAGTGTTCTGTTTTTCTAGCTACAGATTTCTATTGACAAATGAGAATTATAAATGTGTGGAAACTAGTGACCCTTTAATCCTTTCAATATCTATCATATGTGTAAAGACCTATTCATTGCATTGAAAAAGGAGCCTAATAAAGGACCACAATAATTCAACTTGTCTCATTTATTACCTCACAGTTAGTTTACTTTCCACACAGCACTGAGGTCTGTACAGTTAAATCAATACGATATTAATACAAATATTTTAGATAGAGTCGATTACATTAACCAGCAACGTTACATTTTCTGGCAGTAGTTTGTCAAATGTGAAGATTATTTCTGCTTTTCTTTGTCTCTTATGTTTGTACATTGATTTTGTTTGTAGCTGGGAAAAACAAGGAAATTGAAAATGTCGCCTTGGGCTCTGGGAAAGATTTATGACCACTTTTCACCATCAACCTGACTTTGGAGTCAAAAACATTGAATTGATTGGTAGAGAAAATAATCGGCATCTTGAGGCTGAAGCCAAGTTGGTACATTTGTCAGGCCTGGTCTGTAAAATCAACCCAATTCATTTTAGAAGGGTAGGGGTGACGGACAGAAGATGGGGGTAGATAAAAAGGTCAACAGTATTTGCCACATAGAAATGATCAGCTAAATCTGATCCTGAAGGTTCATTTTAATAAACTCTGCTACCAAGCTACACTAGTCATACATTTGTCATAAATAATAATGAATGAATACATAACATAAAAGCAGAAGTGTTTCATGGCTAAGAAAATTATGATAGTACAATATTATGGCCATTCCGTCTGATTGAAGAAACTTGTCAGGCAGACGTATTTCTTGTTAACCAGTTTTTACCACTTAAGAATTTATATGAATGGTAAAAAATCCCTATACAACATTTAGACACCAAGATGTTGAGGAACACCGTTTTGTTTTGAAAGGACAGGACACACTGGCTTGTTTCAAAAATGATTTAGCACAAATTCGATGCACTCCCTGCGGTTGCTACAGAGCTGTGTACTGAAACCAAGGTGTGGCTGTCAAACAGAGATGATTGTCTGTTCCCCCTTTCAATGGACATGTTGTTAAATAGATGTTGTGGGCACGAGATCTTCCAACAGTTAAAATGGTTAATCGAAGGAGTTCACATGCACAGAAGTCAAACCTGTCGAACAGAAACCCTGCATACCTCCAGGAGTTTAGTGACACAAGTACTTTCTCGTCATGTTAAAACCAACAATTAAAAAGTGCAGATGGTTGCAAACAATCAGGGTGTGACATTGAGAACTTAAACGTATCCAGGAGGTGTTTTCTGTTCTCTCCATGGTTCCCTGCTGCTCAGAGACAACTTTATACACAACATGTGTTTACTAATAAACAAACATTCAACCAATGTCTGATTGTGATCTTTGACACAAGTAAGGTCTGTAGAGAAATGAAGCTGCATCAGACTTCATTAGACTGGATCTTACTCTTACTATTACTCAATAGGAAACGCAAGGCAAGTTTATTTATATAGCACCTTTCAACACAAGGCAATTCAAGGTGCTTTACAAAAATGAAAGACATTCAGACAAAGGCATTTAAAAAACAGTCATTAAAAACAAAAGATAATAAAAGAAACATGAATAGAAAAAATACATGAATAAAAAGTTACAGTGCAGTTTAAGATATGAATAGTTCACAAAGAAGTTCCATTTTACTGATGCCTTTCTTTGTGGTTTCTCCAAACATGAGCTGTGTACGCTTGTATGGCACATACGTCCCGAGCAGCATACACAGAGAAAACCAGCCAGGAGAAAGTCCCCAGACACTGATTCCCTGGGGTTACTAGCCCAAAATGTTCATTAACCAAAAACGAAACACAACCGCTCAGTTTCAATTTAAAAGCAGCGGCAAAAAGAAAAGTCTTCAGCCTGGATTTAAAAGTAGTAAGAGTTGCAGCGGACAACTAGACAGACATTTTATCAGCAACTATATTAATTATCAAACGATTCTTTTGTTTTTTTTATACAAAATTGTAAACGCATTTTTGGTTCTAGCAGTGTAAATTACTTGATTGTAAATTTAAATATTTAATTAAAGTTTTAAATAAAGTGTTGTGCTGTTAGTCGGACTAAACAACACATTTGGATAAGGCGCTCTGATCTGTGGGAAATGAACATGTTTCAATATGTTCTTACATTTCATCGACAAAACCAGGGAAAATGTGCAGATTTCACAATTATGAAGGAAATAAAGTCACACAGTTTGGTTAACATTTAAGGTCTGTTTATTTAAACTGTTCCTGAATGTGAGAGCTTAAACCTTTATAATACAACTATATTTACTAAAATAATGAGCAGAGTTTGTGGCTGAATCTTAAAAATACTCATCAATATAAAAAGGGTCACAGGTCCAGATCAGATAACATGGACCTTTAACACCAACCCGGAAACTCAGCCTGTCATTCAGCTGTCATGCTAAACCCCTCCTTTATCCGTCCATACTTTTTTGTCAACTCATAGCCATTCTACTTACCGTATTATGGGGGTCACAATTCCCCACATCCAAGCACGATTGAAAGTAAAATCTTTGGTTTTCTGCTCAAACTTCTTTTATTTACATGTAAACAGATAGGTTACATGGTTTTAGTCTGAACGTCTCTGCCAGTTATCTGTAACACAAATGTAGGAAGAGCAACAGAGGAGGAATCAAAGAAACCATAATAGTAAGGCCCCGGCCCCACGAGGACGAACACGGTCGTTTGCGTTACTGTTTAGTGTCATATAGACCGTTCGGCCACACGAGGACGACCGAATATGACAGTAAACAACTGCGGAAACGATAACGGGTCCCAAGGTGGATAGAACGGCATACGCAACGCTCTGGGGGGTCCAACAGCTCCGTGTGTGCGCCCTATACCAGGCATCCTCAAAGTCCGGACTCCGGTCCGGATCCGGACCGAACCACAACTGTCTCTGGACTCTGAGCAAATTATACTTTTCATATGTGTTATCTGCGAGACATCGCCACAACGCAACGAGTCTAAATGTTCCGCTATGTCCACTACAAACAGCGCTCTGCATGTCCGACTGTTCCACTGTATGTGTGTGTCTGTCAACGCATTGGTCCAATCACATTCAGCATCCCGTCNCTGTTTAGTGTCATATAGACCGTTCGGCCACACGAGGACGACCGAATATGACAGTAAACAACTACGGAAACGATACCGGGTCCCAAGGTGGATAGAACGGCATACGCAACGCTCTGGGGGGTCCAACGGCTCCGTGTGTGCGCCCTATACGATCATTTTCTGATAATGATGACGCAATAGCCCCGCCTCTCCCCACCTCTGCTGCTCACCCCCGCGTCAAAGTAAACTGCACACTGAATTCAGATTATTTATCTTTCTCTCGATATGGACATAAACGCGAGTGAAGTCTAATTTGACAGGACGGAGACACGCAGCTCTGCTCACCTGCAGCTCCTCCCGCTGTGATGCAGCGGTGAACGGAGCAAAACACACACTTCAAGTCAGATCATCACCCTTAGCTATTTTAATTACCTCTCAAACTACCTAAACTAGTTATAAATATGTTTATTTTTACTGTCGGCCGGGTCACTCATTACTGGATCAGCTGCTGCATGAGACAGACTGTGGCCGTTTCTCAATCTCGAGGATGCTGGCTTGATAGTCGCGTACTTCCAAT